GACACGTAGCGGATGACCTTGAGCGCTTGGTGGTGGCTACGACTTGAAACATACGACGTTGATTCCAGGATCATGGATTGAATACGACATCGTCGACATCCCACTGGGTTGTCGCTGGCTTGCCGATAGCCTGATGAAATGGCGCTCATAGCGGCCATTCTATTAATTGCATGAACGTTCATGCTCGGCAGCAAAGTCTCTGCTTTAGCTGCAGTGATGCAATTAATAGAATGGCCGCTTTTATTACCTCCATGAAAAATGGAGGTATTTTTTGGCGTGTTTGTGTCTTTATGTGTGTCTGTCTGTATATGTGTCTGTCTGTGTGTCTGTCTGTGTGTGTGTGTGTTTGTTTGTTTGTTTGTGTTTCCGCACATTTGTAGTCAGCATAACTTCAGAACGCCTTTATGGATTGTGATGATATTTGGTATGTTGGTAGGTCGTAGGAAGACAAAGGTCAAGGTCAACTATGGGCCTCCTATTGGATGACATTGGTACTGCAGCAAAATTTCCGGTATTGTATCTTTTGTCCTGAACATGCTATGGACTTGGATTTTTGGTGACAGATAGCTTTTTCTGTCAGGAATGATTAGTGTGAGTTTTGTTCCCCAGGCAGCTTGTTCTGGAACTGCAGGGGCAAAATCTTTGAAAGCCGATAAGTTCAGATAGGAACAACGTATTCTCATCATTTTTGGTATGTAGGTAGCTGAGAGAGAGATGTACAAATTATGCAAATGACGACCTAATTTGTATCATAAAGGAGGAAATTCTCTAATTACAGTGTCTTATATGATATTACTTTTATACATGTAATCTATTTAATCTATGGCTGGCGGAACATCAACAGATACCAATTATGCAAATGATGACCTAATTTGTATAATTAATGAGAAAATTATGTGATTCAGTATTAGTGAATGATGGCAATTTCATACCTTGTGACATATGTAAGTTACTTATAGGTTAACATCACTATTATATATATTATGTTAATGTACAGGTCATTTGCATAATTAATGAGGACATGTTGAAATGAAGTATGACAAAGGAGAGGATCTTTACACGCAAAATACTGTAATTTGAATTTAGAAAGCCATAAATTAAACAAGGAAAATCTGAGACTTTATGCCTCCGGGTTGTTTATTGTATTTCTATATGTTGTTTGCTATGTGTAGTTATAGTGTTAAGTTTGATGTGTTCGATTTAGCGTTCCGGGTTGTGTTAGGTGTTGGATATAAATTTTGGCACATGTTCTGTGTCCAGATACGGTCCAGTTATTTTATTACGAATAACGTAATACTGGTAAACAAAATGTACACAACCCGGTGGGCAAGATATGTAGGATGAATGGCTGATGGCACATGGTTATACAAGGGTTTACAAGTTGTGTGGGTTTAATGTAGGTAATGTACTCACGTGTGCAAGTTTTTGCATATATGCATTAATCTTGTCCCAATTTCAGGTCATTCGGATTTAATATTAGGGAACAGGAGCCGAAAATGCACTTTTCTTTAATAGCCAACAGGCCATCGTTTACACTATTTTACACTTTGTCAAAAGCTTTAATAACATACCGAATTTCAGGTAAGATTTAATACCATGGCTCCAGGTCACAAAATGTATGTTTTTTGTCCAAAAATGGTCAAAAAAGTGTTCATAGGCGACAATTCTCCGTGAACTTTTATATTTTGCAAATACATATGATCAACAACACGACAATCTAAACAGATGAACAAAGTCATATTTCATAACAATATCTTTCATTTACTACATATTATTTGTTTGATAAGGTATCGTAGTAGGTGCAAACCAGTTACTCTCATTGGGTTGGGTGAAAAAAAATTCCAGAAAAAAAAGCCTAAAACATGCCAAAAACTAGAGGTCGGAGATCGCATGTCTTCGTCAGAGGTACATTGTTCTAGAGAAATGAACGTGTATTCTTAACTCTTTTTAATAATCAATTTGGTCTAAAGTACAAAAGAATCTCTGTACTCTTTTTTATACTACAGAACACCCTGAAGGGGTTCGCCACAGATTTTACAGACGGGCTGTCACCCGTGTTAGATCCCCACCCAACGTTATTTGATTTTGGACTGTTACTGGAAAAAAAACTTACAAGAAATTCTTCTTACTGTATTATGATGAAAGTGTCACGACAGTGTCGCAAAATATAATAAGAGAAGATGTGATAAAGGGAAGAATCAGAACAGGGCGACTACTGCTGTTTTGTTGATTCATCTTTATGACGAATAGAAGACTTGTTTCTTGTTACACTGCGTTCTTTTATTCAACTTGTGTGACTTGTGTCAAAACATTTGTATTTCTACAGTATTAGTATATTCCAAATTCCATCTCCTTTTTCAGCCCTTCATATTTTTATTGCGCTTTCACATTAAATTTAAGGTCTCCAGTGGACGTCATCCATAGCAATTACTTGGTGTGGCCGTAGAAAATAAATAACCTGTCACATGTCCAACCTATCCTCCCCCTGCTGAACTTATAGTACAATCCCTCAATGTAACGTCATTTGATCCCATCCCATTAATATATACGTAGACGACTTAACAATGACAGAATCAAGGCATCGCCTTGAACGTTCCATCATGCAAGAAGAGCTAGATAAGTTCGGTCAGTGGTCCAAGGACAATTACATGCTTCTGAATGGTGACAAGTGTAAGATTATGACTATTTGCTTTTTGAGGATTCCCCCTGCACCGCCGTCACTCAACATTTACGGTTCAGAACTTGAAAGTGTGGCAGTTGCATGTCTCCTGGGAGTCTGGCTCCAGGCTAACCTGAAGTGGGAAACAAACGTAACCAAGATGCTCAACAAAGCAAACGGCCGGCTGTTTCTATTAAGGAGACTGAAACACTTTAACCTCCCTTTGAATGACTTACTGCAGGTCTACAAGTCATACGTGAGACCTGTAGTAGAGTACTGTGCCCCTGTATGGCACCCAGGACTCACTAGTTCCCAGTCAGCTCGCTTGGAGAGGATACAGAAGAGGGCACTGCGCACCATCCTGAGGGGTCAGTACGTGGACTACAACTCAGCCTTGCACACTACAGGCCTACAGTCACTCAGCAGCCGACGCACGGACTTATGCCGGAAATTTGCTTCTAAGATCAACCCTGACCTCCTCCCACCGAGAGGAAGCGAGGAGCATGGCAGGAACACTCGAAATGCTAACAAACTGAGAACTGTGAAGTGTAGGACAAATAGATACCAAAACTCTACCATACCATACCTAACCCGACTGTTAAACGAATGAATAGCAATATTGTTCTCAACACAACCCTTCAGAGAACTTGAACAAGGAAAAAATTAGTGACTTATGTGATGAAAGAATTAGGCCCGCATGTATGTCGTACTGTTCGCGAAATATATCTATGTGTATTATATATCTATTATTTTAATCATCTTTTAATCATCTGCAACGAAGACATGAATGTTTAAGCCATGACAGAACTGATTTTAAATAGGTAAATTCATTCATTCATTCATTCATTCATTCATTCATTCATTATGGGGTTCCCGGCTATATCCAGCTGTCGGCTGTCTCCAAGCAGAGGTTGTGGGGGATTTCTAAACACAAAAGGTCCGCTACAGTGACAACGGAACCCCCCACAAAGCCCATTAACGAACTTAACCTTGGTCCCAACAATAGTAATCTGTCTACCAAAAATTATAAGCAACATTTTACAAATACTTGAGTTATTTTGCTAACAAGCCACAAACACAAAAGGTGCACTAACATGACGCACGGACCCCCCACGAAGCCGAAACTTGCACTTGACTTCGGCCTCAACAACGGTAATCTGCCTGCCAAAAATCATGGACGTCGAATCATGCCTGCCAGAGTTATATCGCAAAATCCGCAGTTCCCACAATGCGGCGAGACAATTTCATAGTCCTTCTGACGAAGACAATAACCCCAAATCCAAACCTCTGTTGGAGAGCACAAACCAGTCACAACCACAGCCACAAACAAGTCACAATCCAAACAATTATACACAATAGCCGCCTAATATCTGCTTATAAAACCTCGCATACCACACAGCTACTAAACTACGGTCTATTCCACAGGATTATAGAAATAGGGGTGTTTCTAAAATATGCATTTACTTCAATATGAAAACTGCTGCGGTAAAACGAAAACAACGTGCATCATCATAATGGCACACCACGTGCCCAAGTACAGAGAAATACAACCGAAACAACCATATCTTTGACTGCGCACACATTTTTAATTTAACCCCATACATAAAGAAAATCTGAGATTTCATACCTCCGGGTTGTTTATTGTATTTTCATGTTGTTTGTTATGTGTAGTTGATGGTGTTAAGTTTGATGTGTTCGATTTAGCGTTCCAGGTTGTGTTAGCGGTTGGATATACATTTTGGCACACGCAACGGTCCAGATACCGTCCAGTAATTTTATTACGAATCATGAACGTACTCACCAGTCCATCATAACAAACCCCGTATAACACTGGTAACACCGACATCTACACAAAATGTACACAACCCGGTGGGCAAGATATGTAGGAGTGAATGGCTGATGGCACATGGTTATACAAGGGTTTACAAGATGTGTGGGTTTAATGTAAGTAATGTACGCACGTATGCAAGTTTTTTTTCATATATCATATGCATAAATATTGCATATATTTATGAAGTATGTTTGCATATATGGGAAGATACCATGCTCCCGTAACCGCGCGCACGGAAACATTTTTTTTTCTTCTTTTTTTTAAATATGCGCTAAAACGCTGTTTTCCACGATTGCATTTAGTGAAAATATGCTCAATTCAAAGAACTTCGGGGGAAAATATACATCTATTTGCGGATTTATGGTGTATTTCCACATAATTTTACGTTCGTTCAACCCGGAAGTATGTACACCCCTCTGTCAGACGCCTAGAAAAAAATGGAACAACCCAAAAATACCTAAACAACAGCCAAGGCAAGCCTGCAAAACCATTTCCACACTGAAAGGGGTGTCCGGGGGCCGCCAAAAGGTTTCATTTTCACGCACGAAAACACATATACAATACAAACCAAAGAACGTGCATCATGTACAGTCTAATAGCAAGACGTATACCGAGTCCCCAAAAAATTCGTCCACCAAACCGCGAGAAACAGCTGCGAACATGAAAACTGTGAAAACAGTACCACTCCGGAATATCTCCTTTCCGGAGGTTGTTATAAATGACTACATGATCCCTATGTGCTGGTCTACATGGTAGCCTCTATAGCGGCCTCCTGTAGCACCACGAATGGACTCCACACATCCTCGTGTCCCACGTCCGAGATTTTCACCTCCTTCAGGGGTCTGTTGTTGTCCGATGTTTCAACCTCTTCTATTTTCCTTACAACATCCTGAAAAATAGGAGCAGGTGATTTTATATATTTTCTCCTTCTTAGTGAGAAAATTTACATGTTCTCCCATCAAAATGTATATGGTGCATAGACGATGTGTTTTGTTTTAATGGGGAGATGCCCTTACATTTCTGATATTAGAATAGAATTCCTGAGTTTACGTCACTCACGTGAACTGACCGTCGCCGCACTTTATCACAGCATCAGGGCGACAAAACAGAAATATTCTAGATTCTGACATTTATCTACCATTTTCATCACGTTTTCGTCATCATTTACTTGGGTACCGCCCATAAATGGCTAGACCCAGCCTATGATACAAAACAAGCAACCCTTCCCGTCAGCAGTATAGCATTTTCGCAATCAGTATGTTATGGAATAGGATTGATTCAATTTACTACATTAAACGAATGACCAGAAAGTTGACTTTTTTGCAGACCTGAAATTGCATTGGATGCCTGTAAGAAGACGCCTGTAAGAAGACGCCTGTAAGAAGACTGTAAGAAGACGTCCTTACCATGCCTTTGAGAACCTTTCCGAAGACGACGTGTTTGCCGTCCAGCCATGACGTTTTAACGGTGGTGATGAAGAACTGGGAGCCGTTAGTGTCCTGGCCAGCGTTCGCCATGCTCAGCCACCCGGCGCCGTAGTGCTGCAGCTCAAAGTTCTCGTCCTCAAAATGGCCGCCATAGATGCTGTACCCTGTGGTAGAGGAGCGGACAGGTGGAGACGTTGTTTAAAAGTGTACCCCATGTATAAAGGGTATATATATATATATAATGTATATGTATAATATGTATATGAATATCTATATCTATAGCATATGAGTATTTATAAATATCTCTCTCTTAAATATATATATATATATATATATATATATATAGAGAGAGATTTATAAATACTCATATGCTATAGATATAGATATTCATATACATATTATACATATACATATACATTATATATATTTACTCTACATCCATACGCTTGTATAATTATTCGGCTCATTATTTTTATGGTTCCTACGACGGATATAGAAAGTACCAGGATACAGTATAAACATTTTTACAAGCATGGCTGACAGCTGTGTTTCCAGCTTATAGAAACACAAAGGTGTTATCATAGTTGGCACCTCCACTTCCTGAATGGAACTTATGGTGGAATTCTTGCGCTTACTTTGCATAGAAATGACCAGAAAATTTACTATTTGTTATGGGCGTCTATTGGACAGGAAGGGATGACGTCATCGCCCACATTACATAAGAATGCAGACGCAGTAATACGTCATCTGTCTGGGTCAGGCCAGGGGCCGCCGACCACGTCTGGAGCCCAAAGCGGCGGTCGCCTCAGCGCATAGGCAACTTTTGGCTTCAAACGACTATTTCCGCATAACTTGATACCGAATGTTCATGGCCGCGTACAACAAAAAGGATACTTTTTGGCGACGTCTCAGGGAGGAGCCTAATGGTACAGTATTGTGTGCAGTTTGCAAGAATTCTAGGAATGGTACAGGCATTTTTTCCACAGGAATGGAATGTCCATAGGAATGTCTCTGACCCGCATCTATGCCCACATTCCTGGAAACCCTTGGGAAGGCCTCTCTGCCCCAGATGGCCCTACTTTCTGTGACCCCGGAGCTCGTTCACTATACACTCAGGGGAGGAGTGTACTGTATCTGTCTACACTTTAACAAGTACCAAGTCTTCCCCAAAATCATAAAATGATGGCAGTGCCATTCAAACAATAACCCTAACAGCAACCACCGTCGCCATGGCAATGCATGTTTTCATTGCCAGTCTTGTTTTATATCGTCGCAATGTTACATAATGCGCCTTTAAGTAGGATGGTTGCACTCACCGCCTGTACCGTCCCCGTGTGTGAAGTCGCCTCCCTGGATCATGAAACCCTTCATGACTCGGTGGAATATACATCCCTTGTAGCCTTCTGGTTTCTGTAGGATCACCGTAGAGTCATGGTATATTCCCATTAACAACAAAAACAGATAACTGTATGTTTATCATGACATGTAGGGATAACATATTACTTACATAAGAAAGCGTAACTTTACTAATTGCAATTGCAATGCAATATCCCCATCCCCATAAAATGTAAAAGAGAGCTCATGCCTGAAATCAAGTGTTCTTTATCTGTACATCATAAAGGGCTGTATGTTGCTAAGATACACTTATACAGATCATACAATGTAGTTTGACTTCTTTTTTGAAGACAGAGGAAGACCAAGGATCCCACTTTTTCTGTAATTTGTGTAGTTTTCAACAACAGTTATGCGTAGGACTCTCATATCGGCCTACAGGCCGCTTTTCATTGAGGTCATCAAGAGGTAAGGGTCAAGAATAATATAATATATAATATAATATATTATATACATATTTACATCATTTAATGATAACAGAGCAAGCTCCGTAGACTTCCCAACTCTGAATGGTTACGTGTCATGTTTTCTATCCTAACTATAACCCACCTCTCTCTTCGCCAGCGTCGCGAAGTTGCGGACAGTTTTTGGGACGATCTTGCCGAAAAGTCCGATCTCGACACGGCCGAGCTTCTCGCCTCCGACGGTGATGTCAAACCATACCTGTGTGTACCGAAGATGTCACTTTTAACAACAACTGCAATAACAAAACCCGTATCATGTTTATGGAAGGAAAGCCATGTTTTTGCTCAGTTTCCTCTTCTTCTTCTTCTCCAAACATGTATAAATCACCAATATTTCCCTTACTAGACTTACTGTAAAAACGCCAAGCTGGTAGATCGGTACATAAGACATCGAACCTTGGCACATTTTGTCCGACATAAATGTTTACATTCTACGTACGTGATAAGTACTGGCACCAAACCTCGCACTATATCGAGTTTAGCGAGATGGATACCCACAAAAATGTTAAAATATTGGGGTAGGATCCTTTTGGGCAGAACATTTTGGCGTTTTTTTCCTGTGGATTTATCGATTACATCATGTCCCTTCATTACATCATGTACAGTGGGGAGGGGGGCGTGTCATCGAGATAGAACGCTAATAGAACTAGAAAGGCCGACATTTGCTTTGGAGCAAATTCAGCATGACTTCACCACATTTCACGACATGGCAGGGAAAGAAGGAGAAATACAAGGGAAAAGCTTGAATAATTCTTTACATTGACATAACTATAGTATGAAGTGTCAATAGTTGGATAGCTATCCCTTACATTATTGGTTGGGATTTTTAATTGCATAATGCAAACTGTTGATTTTCAAGATATGCCCCGCATTCCAATTCTGGAGCAGGAAAGCTTGACATACCTACCAAGACACTGGAATAAAGTTCATAGTATGGCTTTGTACAGGTGCTAATTGAGTTAACCCAATCAGATCCGAACAGCCAATCAGCAAGGAGAGTAGAGGAAAGCTGCATGCCTATTGGTTGCCTGCTCTACATGCCATTCTGATGACTCATACCCAAATATGGTAACACTGGTAACTCACTGCTATAGTACATTTTCTATCACACAGCCTAAAAGCTTAAATAAAACCATAATGATGCCATAAAAAACATAATACCGGGTTGAGATTCTGTTTGTCAGAAATTTAAACAGAGTTTGGCAAAGGTTCTGTGGATAGACGATGTTGTTCCATCTGAATATTACTCTTGTTCCATTTATTCAGTAGTACAAAATTATAATAGATAAACAATGGTGTCAAGAGCAAAGTGTGCACATGATAATCTTTTTTTTTTACTAATTCATCTATAATTTCTTTGATCTATGTTTCTTCTCAGCTTTGAAATTCCAAATCTTTATACTTCCCTGTTACATTATTTCTATCCTTAAGATGGGACCTCTCCTAGAGAAGGAAGTAGAGCTTGGCCCATGAGAAACTGACTTAAGGAAGAACCAGAGAGCTGGACCCAACTACCCACAGAAGGATACAACTCAATGACCATTTCTAGAAACCCTTGTACAATTTCCATTTTTTTGTGTGTGTATAAATTCAATTTCTATATATAGTTTCATAGTATATGTAAGTCATGTATAGCTTATTTGATATACATATATAGTTTCATAGTATATGTAAGTCATGTATAGCTTATTCAATATACATGTATAGTTTCATAGTATATGTAAGTCATGTAGCTAATTCAATATACATGTATAGGTTCATAGTAAATATAAGTCATGTATAGTTTAGTCAATACATATGTTTAATTTCGTTTGTACAAGCCATGTATAGTTACCAAATTTTGACACAACAATAGATATTCAAATTGTTTTGCTAGTATAAATACAAAACATCCATTTACTCTTCTAAAACAATCCACATATTTTAGAAGTAAATTAGGGTAAATTTATTTTCTACTGCTTCAAAGGCAATGAAAGAAGAAGGAAAACTGAACAAAACTGGCTTGATATATATATATAAATGTATATTGCAAGTAGTATAAAAGTGTACCGTTGAAATTAGTTCTTGCAAGGACATTATACAATATTACACAGTATATTATAATTATACAGTATACTGTATAATGTCCTTGGTTCTTGATATCATTGTATTTTCCATTATGTACAAGTACAAGTAAGTACATTATGTGTGTTACATGTACTTGCAATTAGTCTTCTGTCATTTGTTTACACTATAGCTAATAATAAACTTGTTATTATCATTATTGTTATTTCAACCTACATCCGTTTTTTAACTTTGTGAAACAAGAATAGCATTTAATTTTTGTAATTAAAGCTACCGAGAAGATTCACATTCTACTTGACCATGCTTCAATCTTTGTTCTTAATTACTAGGTGTGTACGATAAGATGGTAAGATTACAAGTGTGTGTGTGCCCGCTTCATCCTCAGTACTATTTTCCTAAAATGTTCGTAATAATAGAAGACTAGGAGCTATAAGTACATCCAAACTCCACAGTGAATATGGCACTTATCATTAGTAAATGTATGAACGACTGCAATATGATCAAATACAGAATAATTCCATTCCTATCCCAAGTAGGAAATTCACTCCTCAGTGAACATGACACTATATATGTAGTAGTATATAAGTCTTCATAAAAGTACCCAATATGAGGAAATGCAGAATATTCGTCTACCCATCCTTACCCAGCCAACAAACATAGGAATGTTTAATAGGTGAGACCATGTGAAGGTAAACATACTGCATGTGCTTGCAAGTGTTACCTTTCTGGCCTGTCTGTCTCTCTCTCTCTGTGTGTCTCTCTCTCTCTCTGTCTCTCTCTATATATATATATATATATATATAGTAGAGAGAGAGAGAGAGAGAAGA